TCCTCTCTCTGTGATAGACAGGGAATGTATATGACCTAATTTCCCTGCCCTCCCTACCCCACACGTGTTTGAATGTCAGTCTGCCATCCACACTCCAGCAGTTTCTCTGCTCCCACAGGAGAAATGGACTATGCTGCCCTAGATACGCCAGACTGAGTCCCAGAAAGTAGTGGCTGTTTGTCTGGCTTCACATAAATTACCAAAAAGCAGATCTAGGTCTTGAGAAACAGGAGTGGAGCTACCTGCAGATCTCGGCACTTCCCAGTTCCTGACCTGCCTCCTTTCACAGCTTGCTGCTGGTGGAAAATGGCCTGACTCAGGCATTGCTTCGTATCTACAGCAGCACTACCAAGAACAAAAAGGACTAGGGCATGCACCTGGGGTGCACAGGTGACTGTCAGGATGAGTGACATAGGTCCTTCTGGTAACAAGGAAAAGGCTTCTGGTAGAACCCTTTCCATGCACAATGCTGATGGTTTGGGCTATCCTGAAAACAGCAAAGAAACCATTTCAAACCTACAAAAAAGTGACTTAAAGGTAGGCCAGATCTACCAAAGTTCATTCATCTAGGTTTGTGCTTCATATGGACAATGTTTCATATGCACTAACTCCTTTTTTTGGCCTTTTTTTTAAGATGGTGGAAAAAAGCTACTAAATATTACAAGTCTGTATTTTCTTGTGAAGATTCTTCTCATTTGACTGACTAAGGGAGTTGCATTGGAAGTCTTCTGTAAAGAAACAGCCAACCTCAGAAATATGGAGTTGATTCTAGAAAGCTAACAGTTTCATTCATGATATTATGTATATAATAAAATTGGTAGGAAGTGTCAAAATAATTTGCAGATTCAGAGCCTGTTATTTGCTTGCACATTTACTGAGCTTAGTCACTAATGTATATACAAAAACATTTGTACTAATTATATGACAAGTGACTTAAGTTAAACCAAACTGCTAACCTTACATCAGTGACATTCAGTAGTTTTTTGATGCTTCAAAGCAATGCAGCGAGTAAAAAGCTAGTTTATTTTAACTTTCAGTAATTTAATATACTAGCTTTGCTATACAAAATTTTTAAGTATTAGCCTATATAGTGTATTTTTGAAATTACATATCATTACTTCCATAAATTATTTTATTCTACAAAATAGCATGCAGATTATTCTTTACAGCAGCAACACTTCAGATGACATACAGAATCAAAGACAAAAACTCCCACTGTGCATGTTTCATAACATAAATTAAGCTAATTACTCAGACTTGTCATTTTCTACAAAGCAAATCACCCACTAAACTGAACAGTGACTAATTTAACTGGAAATTGATATGGAACACGTGTTACTAGAAGATTAATGTACAGAAATCTCACAGTATGTGAGATTTCTGTACATTATCAGTAGTGGAGAATATTATTGAGGTAACCTTTCTTAGAAGTGGGTTTTTGATGCACATCTCTCATGAAAAATCTAAAAATAATCTATAATTAAGTCTTTTTATTTATTAGAATTAAAGATGGCTATATTATCTCTGAAGAAAGTACTAAAGAGGGGGATCATTACAGTGGAGACTAGCAAATGCTAAATGAGCGTGTAATAAACTCTGGTATTGTTTATATATATTGTTTTGCACTAGCAACTGTTGATCCAGAAACATCAACAAATATGGGCTACTGCAGGTAGCTGGTACCTTTCTTCTAGACACTGAAAGGTAAAGCTTACAAAGAAAAATACTTCTAGCTGACTGTTGTGCTGAGTTACCTACTGCTAAAATCTGGAGTAGACAGTGATGCATTGGTATAATACAGAATTCAAAAGATTAATATTTTGTTAAAATATTACCTAATGCAAAGCAATCAGAAAGCAGAAGTAGCATTTGGAAGCAGTCACCATCTTTCAGTGTGAACACACAGAAAATCTGAATTGAGGAGCTGAAGAGTGTTGTGGTGATACTTGTCAAACTGACTGATTTTGGCTCATGCAGTGGTGTGCACTATCTGTTTCTCTTAGTCATCCCTAACTATGCAGCAGAAGCCCTAGGATTGCAAAAAGGATCCTGTGTACTGTGCACAGGACTAGATATTAAATGTACAGATTCACAACTGTTACAACTATTGCATGAGTATTTATTGTCTAGGTGCATTCTGTTATCCTGAATATAAACTGATAACCTCAGAAATGTTACAGATCTAATTTTCTTAGTATGCTATTGTATTCTTGACAGAGTAGTTTTGGTTTCATTAATCTATAGAAAAAATTGTTTAAGCATGGATCCATTAACAACCTTTTTCTGCTAACCATTTCTCCAAACAAGCTTAAAAAAATGTTGCAATTAACTAAAATGTTCTACCACATTTCAGTGTAGATGAAATCCACCAACTACATTTGTAATAGAGTATGATTTTTGGTTTTGTGTTGTCTCTTTTTACAGGATGAGAATATAATGCGATCAATGCAGCTCTTCGAAAATGTGATTTAATGAAGACATTAGGTCTACAACTAATGGACAAATATGAGCTATTCTGCAACATTATCTAAAAAATGGATTTCCCACTTTATCATAAATAAAGTTGCTCAGCTTTACACTGAGATATGTATTATGCAAGTAAATTTTTTATTATAAACTCTTCCCTACAAAAAACCCTTTCTAAATTATACAATCTAGCACTTCTACAGTGGCTACTTAGTTAATAGGACTGTACTGAAAAATCAGGTTCTTACTACAAACTCAAAAAAATAGAACTGACATTATGCACCTCTATTATCATTCCAACCCCTAGTTAAAATAGATACAATCACAAGGAGATGAAATAAATATTCTTAGTTTTGCTACTCATTTGTACTGGACTAAGCTCCAGGTGTTGAAGCATATTTCTTAAATCTCTAGCTTCTAATTTATACAGAGGCATTACAATTTATTTTCTTCTCATATTTCTATGGTGTAGTCCTCATTTTTGAATAATATTTGGAGTTAAAATGCTACAGTCAGTGTGCGATGCACACCTTGATACAATTGCCTTCCAACTTTGACCTGTTTTACTCTTCAGAAAGACCCCAAACCAAACATGACTAAACAGATAACTTGAGAGCAAGAAATGTTACAGAACAAAAAAAAAATAATTGCTTCTGTGTATTCTTATTACCTTAAAAATATGAGTAAGCATCCCTCAATCTCACCTAAGAAATCTGCACTTAATTTATCCTGACATGAATATCAGGAGTCCTACATACTGTATTTTTAATTCTTGGATGTGTCTGCAAAGTTCTTTGCTTAAAATTAAGGATCTTCTGACTTCCAATTTTTCAAGAAGAAACCTTAACTGGATCCTAACCCTGCTTTCCTAAGTATGTGTCTTTCTGCCTTTAATGAAGATAAAGGCATGAACTTTTGAAACTGCCATCCCATTTTAGTGCTGAGAATGAATGTCACTACATAGTAACATCTATTGATAATGACTGCTAGAGGCTAACATCCATTTCATCTTTTTGTAATACCTTTAACTATGAGACAGAACCAGGAAAACAACGAAAACTTTAGCTATATATTATCTATATGTGATAAATGCTTTACATTTTTTAAGATCATTTCTTCATTAAGATTGGAGCTACTTAATTCTGAACCTAGAAAGATTCTTCTAAAAAAGTATGCATATAAAATAGAACACTGCCCCTCCATCCATGTAATTTTTAAGATATATTGTCCACAGAGTCTACGCCAATACTTCAAAATAGGTGAAATGCTATCAGAGATAGGCCAACCTTCATTGTGACATTGCTGCAGAAAGTGTGAAAGGGGATTAATGAAGTAGAAAGAAGGTTACAATATTCTTTTGTAAAAATAAATCAGGTATCTATTCTGGTGTAGAGATGGGATGTTAGAGGCATGTTGAAGGCTGCTCTGCTATCACCAGTGTAGGATAAGAGTAGTACAATACATGTACACCTGAAATCTGCTGTAGCGTGTTTGTGTAAACTAAATGTGCACATTTTGTAAAAAAAAAAAAAGAAAAATAAAGTAAACATGAAGAAAAAAAAGGACCATGATCAATTTTTTCAATTGTTAAGTACCTGCTGGCAAAAATGGTTATTGAAGAAATACTTTTTTTTTTTGAAGCATAAATACACTTATCTTAGCACAGTTCTGATCTCAGCAGAGATCAGTCCTGAAGTGAATTTTAGTCAGGCTGAGGTGATTTTAAAAAAACTTCTGAAATTGCTTTCACATGACAGACTTTTATTAATACTCTATGCATCAGCATCTTCTTATTGACAAAAAACATCCTTTCCAAAAACTTTAAATGCCAGAATTGAATATTCCTCAGGGGAAAATATTCTGTGCAAATTATGTTATTTCAGTTAACTCTCCCTCACAGTGTACTCAAATACTACATGTCCCTGAACACTATTTACTACAAGAACCAATTAGGAATTATTTTGCAATCAAATTCAAATACATTAATCGACAAATGCTGTACCCTACAAAGCTTGACAGCCAGGTAAGCTGGCTTGTACACTCTTTTTTTTTGTCTTTAACTTATATTTTTTATATCTTCCATGTTTAGAAGTTTATTAATTTGTCTGGAACTGAATTCACAAGAAAATCCCAAGCATGTCTGTAACGCTACTGAACTCAATGCAAAGGGAGCACAGTGTAAGAAGTTGCCTCCTCCATCCAGCTCCCATTCAGTAGGCTCAAAGTTAAAAGGAACTAATTAGCTGAGCAAAACCTCAGCTGTGGCTCTGTGGGACAGCCTGATGCCTCTGCACTGTATTCTCCAGAGCCTCCCCTTGCTCTCAGAAATGCTAAGAATGCACTGAGCAAGTTCAGCTTTGGAACATATGCTGCCTGTTTACTGGGTTCAGCTTCACACCTTTAAAAGCTGACTGAAGAATTCTGAGAGGGCTCACAGTTCTATGTCTAACCTAGTCCTGATGAACCTAAATGCATCTATCTGTGCCATGTCACAAAATAAGTTATAAATTTCAAAAGCAGATATACACATGCAATTTAGCACCAGGTTAGATTTTATTTAAGTAATTACAACCAAATTATTTTGCATCACACAAATATACAAAACATATTAACCACTGCAGGTATAATAAATGAAATCGTAATTTAAAACTAAATAAGAATCAATACTTATTCTGTTTTTGAAATAATACCACATTAATTGGTGTCATGTTAAGCCTAATGCATATACAAATATACAAAGAGAAGTCTTCCGTAATTACATATTCACAAACTGGTAAGACTCCTGCTCTCCGTCATACTGAATAATTATTATTATTTTAAGAGAATATATCATACCCCAAATAAGGGTCAGTGATATTTACAGACAGTTTCTTTCCAAACTTCACCTTACAGTACAAATCACTAATTTCCTTGTTCAAGAGTAGATAGAACAATAGGTTGGAATTTTAGATTTGATGATAGCCACAGTTGCCTGTTGAAGAAAACAAAACAAATTTAAACAAAATAAGCAGCACTAGCGCTACGTATGACAGTACTCATATAGTCTCTATACGTTGCATAATTCCGAAGTTTTATTTAGTTATCTTTGCTATTGTCAAACAGCAGAAAACTAAAAAGTTAGTATTTGCTGATTGCTGTAAAAAGGGCTGAAAATAATGAATGGAGAAAATGCACTATTGTGATAACTAATGCTGGGGAGGTAAAACATCCAAAAGAACAGACATGTAAACTCATACCAAAAAGAGGGCATAGACAGGAAATAATAAGGATTTTTAAGTAGAGGAATGATGTTTTAGAGGGGACTTCCAATAAAAGCAATAATCATACGCTTTATAACTAATTTAGAAAGTAAATTTGATAAATTATTGGTTGGATTATATAATATTGCTTGTAATCACAATTTAGTAGTTTGTTTCCAGTTTTTTTTTGCTTTATCTTTTTTCTGACTTTTTAAAAGACATACAGAAAGACCTACTCACTAAACAGGTAAGACTACAAGAAATCAGAGGATTGACAAAAAAATTAGAGGTTAATGACTCACTGGATTAATTATATTATCTAGACCTAAAATTTTAGAACATTAGGACAAGACCTAATTTTCCTTTTCTTGTCTCATTTCTTGTCTCACTTCATATAAGTAAAAAACTCTCATCCTCCTTCATTTTTCATGACTTTTTCAAATCTGTAATACAAACACTGCTATTGCTCTTAAATGAACATGAGCACACACACAAAAATGAGGAGGCATCTACTGATTATTAGCCACCTACTGGCTAAGGCACACAAGCTCAGTACTGCTAGGCCTGTGTGTGTGGTCCCTACTCTTCAGGTTATCCCTATTCTTTGAGAACCTCTGCCGTCTATTACTTAAAGCATCTTTTTGATTTATAGCCATTGCAGATCCAAACTCTGGGTTAACCAGGGTGGGCTGGAATGTGAGTGTCAGATCCCCTCAGGAAGTGTAATAACCAATAAACTATTAGTGGGAACAGGCAGGCATCATCAATTACAGCAAAAAGTAACTTCTTGCAAGAGGAAATCTTGTTGAGAAACATATTTAGTACCAGAAAACGGAACACCAAGCATGTATCCCAGCCATACTGAGGCAAGAACATGGCAATAAAACCAGAGATGACAGCTGTTTTGACAAAATTGATTCAAAAGTGTAGATTATTAAATAAATATCTGATCCACTCACCTTTCCACCATAGTGCTCCAACTTTTGTAAAGCAACAGTAACTTTTTCTCTATATTTCTTGTCCATTGATCTCTTTAAAAGCTATTGGAAAAGCAAAATAAAGAGGTTTGTTGCACAATATAGTACAGTATATACAAAGAGACAATAATAACCCATTTTGTTACTTTATTCCATCTTACCTTTGCAGAATTAAAGCCACAAAGAAACATTGTAACTTGTAACTGATGTCAAAGTATGGAACTCAATAAAAGCAAATACAGAATAAAAAGTTAACTAGAGAGAAACTTAAATTCAAAGAAAACTGATCTGTTAACCAACAAAAATATTTCTTTTTCTTTTAGCAAACAAATTTGAAAGAAATATCCACCTTAAAAAAAAGTCATTCTTAAAGAGTTGTCCACATGAAAAGTTAACTTTTATTTCATGTGCATTGAAAAAGATTTACTGTAGTGGAAATACTTAAAAAAAACCAACCTGCTGTAATTTCTCTCTTCTGTATTTGAGCGTTAAAAAAGGTCCTTTTATTTTGCTGTAAAAGTGCACTTTGCAAGCAGGTTAAAAGAAACTATGAAAAGCCTGTCTGACAGAGGAAGGATGTACTCAGAATGACTTGGTATAAAAATACCTCTCATAATCCTACTCAAAGCCTATTTAATGAAAACTTCCTTGTGCAGAATTCCCATCTGAAAGGAGTGGGAATATTTGCTTCTGTTAATGTATTGGAATGTTCATGGTTTTGTTAAGATATTCAGACTTAAAAATTCATTTTGCAATAAATTTGCCTCCAAAACAAGGCATCTGGATGTTTTCATAAATAGTAGAGAGAACACTTCCATTATTCTCCAGTTTACATTAACAACAGTTTTTGGACTTTCCTAGAACTTTTTAAGTCAACACATAAAAGAACAAAGGACTCACACAGGGGACTATATGAAATAATGCTTTTCATGGAACTGCTGACTCCTCCACTGTATCTGTGCAGATATAATAGTAACATCTCAACAAGAATGCCATGAAAATATAAATGATTTTTTATTATAGCATGGAAGACTTACATTTGTGAGTAGAAGTTTAAGATGATCATTAAGAGATGGGCCAACAACCCCACTCAATTGCACTAAAGCATCCAATGCCCTTTCAAATACTTCATCATCCACATGGGCCTTCAGAAGGGGAAGAAAAAAAGAAAATCCTGTGAGTAAGATTCAGACAAACACAAGTTTTTCTAAACTGCAAACTCTGTATTATGATTGTATGAAGTAGTTTTAAACATTAAAACTACTGTGCAATTGCAAATCGCTATAACAATCCAAGTTTAGAAATAGAAGTACAATATGACTGAATATTAGTCTCTAGAGGCCAAATTTAAAGTCAGAGCATATTTTTAAACCAGAAAACAAAAACATCCATGAAATGTCCACAAAACTCTTGCATTTCTTCTGAGACAACACAATGAATAATTTACTATTGCTGAAATAAAAAATATGGCACGCAAAACAGCTTGCTACACTGATAATTTCAGTATTTCACAGCATATAAGAAATAATCTTTCAAATGCTGATATGTTTAAATTGAAAAACACCATTTTAGTTACAAATATAATGAATTCTGGGTAATTTCTATGCAATTCATAACAGTAACTTTCTTTGTTGGAGAAACAGAGGAGCCAATGACTTTCTGTCTCAATTAATTTAGTCCCCTGCCAACTACACCTTTGTCACCTGCCAGCAATTATCAGGCTCTTATCTACTTCTGTGGTTCTTCATCATCTTTATTTCTCCCATGGGAAGGCTCTTCTATACCTGACTTCTCTAATGGTTTAGTTATCTTGCTTTACCTTTAGCAAAGAAATAGACTTATAACAACTTGGTCTCATACTAAATTATAACTTTATTTAAACAACTGTTTCTCCTCTCCAGCATCTGGGCCCTGAACATTGTCTTTTTAACTAGAAATCATTGACTGCTTGTGTAGTAGAAGATTTAACAAGGCATAATACCAAAACACTGCAACAATAAAAATTATCGGAAGAGTAACATTAATTGGGGGAAGAGAGAAGAATATTTTTTTCTAATTTTGCCATTAAGCTAAACCAAAGATAGTGATAACACACAATTCTGAACTTCTGTTATATCTCTGATTTGAGATCACAATTAATTTTCAAACTTCAAGCCATCTCTGTTAAATCAGAACTGAAACACATCTAGATTCAGGGACAGCTACTTACTGAAGCAGAAAAGGGCTCTCAAAGACATGAAAAAAATCCAAAAGAGATAACCTTCAAAGCCAATACCTCACTTTATTTTCTGATGGTGCAGAAGAGTCAAACATTTTTTAAAATTAAGAATATGACCTCAAACACTTTAAATGTATTCTTCCTTTTTCTTCATTGACATACTCTGGTGATGGTGCTATGCAGGGCTGGGAGTTGGACCCAGTGATCCTTGTGGGTCCCTTATTTTGTGATTTTGTTTAACTTTGTAGCATGTTTTGAATTGTTACATGTAATAGATGAGTATTTATTCCTGCATATCCATTTTACGTCACCTCATTTTTATTTTTTGCATGTTATTCCGTGGACATATAAAAAAGCCTACCACAAATATATATTTTTATTTCTGCTTATATAAAACCTTTAAGAGAACAGTTTCATAATTTTTTTCATAGCTACTGTCATATAGTTATGAAAGGAGTTGCTCATCTTAATTTATATTTACAGACATATTTAGCTAATAAACCAAGGCAGGGTTAACAAGAGAAAGAGAAATCATCTCTATCCCCCAAACCAAAAGCCCATGCAATAAATTTATTACATTAATATTACCCATGTAGTTCTCACTGGTGGAAGAAAAAAAAAATCAAACCCATTAAAATCTCTGCATGAAGAACAAGACATACCAATGCAGCCTTTAAGACTGGAACTAGACGAGGCAACAAGGGAATAGCTTTTTCAGCAGCACCTTCAACCAGAAGTAATTCTTTAAAACCCTCCTTGGAAACAAAAGTATAGGGATGTTTTGTCTCTCTTAGTCCCTGTTGCAAATGTAAAACATGATTTTCTTAATACTAAACCTTCTTTCAAACAAAACTGTGTTTACAAGTTCCACACAGCAAAAGGACCATGTTTATATTTTGTCAGATCATTTCAAAACATAAAGTACACTAACTCCACCATGTGGAGCCACTGGGTACAACTCTGCTCACAGAATATTCTAATTGATTTTTCTTTTAGAACACTGAATATTAAAATTAACATTATGAAAACTGCCAATTCAATCAATATTTGTACTTCAATAAGTTTAATCTAACAACCCAAGGTATTTTTTTCAATGAGACCATGAACTACAACAGGCTATATTTGTATAGGGGTTTTGTACAGAAGGGAAAAAAGAATAGAAGGTGAACAATGGAAGGAAAGACATCCCACACCACATACCTCTCTATGAAACACTAAAGAAGTTGTAGATAGTATGAAGATGCACATCTAGTAAAGGTCTGACTGGCAAAACTCAAAGATTTAAAGCCCTGTGGGTGAAGCCTTTTTTCTTAACATAATAGAAATTTTATGTTATTTTAGGAACTGACAGTTTTATTTAATTAAAAAAAAAACAAAGGAAAAAAAAGAAGAAACAAAGGGAAAAAAGAAACCAAGAAAATAAAAAGGAAAAAGAGGGGAAAAAAAAGGGAAAAAGAAAGTAAGCCACCTCAGTATATGCACTTTATTCTACCTGCAACATTGGATTCAGCATTTAGACACGTGGAACATATTTAGTGATAAATGTCACAGATGGTTCTGAGAAAATAGAAGCCTCAACATAGTGCATAGTATTTCTCTTCCACTTACTTACAGAATCCTATTTCCACTGTACTAGTTCAGTCTACTGAGGAGAGCATTCTTACTTTGTAATGTAGGCTTTATATACAAAAATAAGCAAAACAATTTAGCTTAAAAAAGAATCTGCAAAAGCACAAATTTCATTCAACAGTTGGGCATCTGAGATTGAGTCTTGCATTTGATCAGTATCTTGAAGATTAAGCAGCTCTAGCTAGCTCTCCCAGAAAGCTCCAACTAAAGAACTACAAATAGCAATGTTCTTGACCATTTTCATTCATACAATATCCTCATAAGTGGGTTTTCTTTTCTATTTCTCCAGTAGCTGAGCCTTAACTGGCTAACTTGGATTGTTTAAAAAATTACATTTGCAATTAGGAAATGGTTGTATGCTTAATGTTGCAAGAAATTGAGTTTACCTCTGCCAGTGTTAAAAGAAGAGGATCAAAGGAAACAGTTTCAGGAGGGCATTCCCACTGCAGTTTGTGCTTTACTGATCCATGCACTAACCTATATAAAGAATGAAGTTTTAACAAAATAACATATAGTAATACATAATTTATTGCTAACACTAATTGCTTTCAATGTATCACCAATTAGATTGTTGTGTTCCTCCATTATATACACAGTCTCAATCCATAATGCTCTCCTTAGTGAAATTCTAGGGTCATGGAATCAACTAAGTTGGCAAAGATCTCTGGGATCATGGAGTCCAACCTCTGTATATGTATAATGGTTAACAGAGCAATTATACTAAATTCCCAAAATATGACAGTTTTCAAAATTCTGCTCCTAATCACATAGAAATCAGAAAATAGAAGTTATAGAAATTATAGGTGCTTCTCATGCCAACACAGAAGATATTCCTTTTGCAAAGTTACTTATTTTGATAAGTATATCAAGAAACATTTTCCTCAAATAGCAATAGGTAAGAAAAAGCAGTTGAAACTGAAGGAAGATCATATTAAAATTCATTATTTACTCCTAAGATACAAATAAATGTATCAATACTATATATTAGTTAGAGCTTGTTAGCACAGATAATGGCTTATTTTCTGTGCTTCTGATTATTTCATACAATTATATACATGCACATCTTATTAATGATGGCTTATATTTTTGCTAAGTAATTCTGCATCCATGTGACGAAAAACACCAGAACATTTATTGTCTAGGCAAATATATACCTATATATATATATAAAACTGGACCTATATATACATATAGCTCATAAACTTAACCCATATATATATATATATATATATAATATATAACTTAAAATACCCTGAACTTACTTGCAAGTAGTTTTGTTAATTTTTCATATGTCTGAAAACTACAGAATAGGAATGTTTGATAGCACATTGTCATGCTACTAAGTTCAGATAAAAAAGGCTGTGAAAGGTCTACTTATTTAAATAGCACTAATTTTATTATCTTTGCTAGGAGGGAGAAGTAAATACAATTACCTGAAAAAAATCAGTTAAAAAAAACCAAAACATGAAAGACGTTTGGCAAACCAAGTGTGCACATAATTAACTATTATTTAAAAATGTGGCTTTGATATTAATACAGCATAAAAAAAGAACCAAAAGAAGACAATTTCAAAGGCATGGAAGCTTGCTTTCTGCTCTGAAAAGAATTAAGTATTAAACATTTTTCCAGAATTGAATGGAATCAAACAACCTAACTAAAAGATGAAACATGAAAAGATGTATTTCATAATATATTTAGTAAAAATAAGAAACAAACCAAACACACCTGCACGGAATGCCACCTCTAGCATATGTAGCAGCAAATGCAGATGGTGGTTGAGAATAGGCACGAAACTGTGAGGACAGAAAAAAACCCATTATTTATTCATAACAGTAATTTTTATAGTTATTATGAATATGCTAAAAGGGAAGTTTACAAAAAAATTAACTTAGTCATATGAATCTAAAACAAAACAAAATAAAGAACTGCAGCCATGGAGTGGAAAACAGATTAAGTGATACACTTATGCGAAAACTGCTTTTAAGACTCATTGGTCCGGGGAGTTGTAAATGAATAAAAATATACAAACATATTCCTGATGGAATCACTATTTTTCCTTTTTTTTTTCTTGCAAATGGTAATATAGAAGCCTTACTGGTTCTTTCCTAAGCAGATCAAGGAACTCCAACTTCCCTGAAGCTCTGGTTATATTGGGAACATGCAGTTCATTGTAATTCCAACTTGATCTGACTATAGACAAAAGCACATGGTGGCAAGATGTGGGAGAAACACCAAATATTGGGCAAGAAGGTGAGAGGGCACTGGAAATACACAGGAAGGTTCATACTGGGTGAGATTCTAGGAAGGACACATTGGAGAAGGAAACTAGGACATTCATGCAAGGAAAAGCTGCACAAATTTCCCTTCATTGTATACATGCTTCTTATGCATATGAACTATTATATTATTTATTAGCATGATCAATTAATGTTGTTTCCCAGATAATACACCTTATCACAAAGCATTCAGATGGGAATACCACGAAATCTCAATTTTTATCTTTTGAGTGTTTAAACCTACATTAAGCTTAGTAGAATTGTGTTCATGGCTTAAATTCGGTCATTGTGCTACTTGCAAAGAGATTTCAAACAAAAAAGATGCCCACATTAAAGTATTCAGCCTCTGTTTATCAGCAAAGTACTTCTGCATTCACTTTCCAAAAAACCTGTGACATTACTAATTGCCAGATGATACGGCCCAGTGGTGAACTATAATTCATGCATTCAATGCTAGTTCTCCAGGCACAGGACTTCCATGAAAAAAACAACTCCTTTCATTACTACTCTCCCAAGAACACAAATTTTTCCTGAAGGATTACATAGTCACAGTAACTGTGAGTTTCAAATAGTGCTCACCAGCAATTAATTTGCCACATTTTATAAGGCTTTCAATATGCCACATGCTTCTGGGTTTCATTGCATAACTGAAATAAGTTTCTCTAAAGCAGCAGGTGCCAAAGTTTAGAATAAAAAAAACAAACAATCCTTTTTACTGTTTAGCTCTAAATCTCTTTTCAGGGCAATAGTACATTAAAAAAACCAGTTACCATCCAAGCCACAACTGTACCAAAATACATTTTTTAAAAAAATGTAATAAACAAAACATTTGAGCTTAGAAGATAAGGTATGTATGATTAATAACAAAAGTTTAATTTCAGTTTAAAAAAACAGGACCAGAAGAAGCATGTCCTGATGCCATTTCATAAAGTAAGAAAAACTCTTCAAATCATAGATGGATTTTAACAAAACAAAACTACCACCAGCTATACATACTGGATCAATAGTTTTAGGATTCAGCTTGTCACTAGGCTTTGGCTGTGAACATGGCTTGCTTTTCTGTGCTGCAGTCTTTGTTTTCATTTGGATGCCTGATGACATTCTTACAACATTGCTTCCTACAAAACAAAAAAAAATAAAAATAAAATATTAAAACCAAAATAATTTTCATTCCTATATGACAGAATATTGAGGGTTAGAATGTGCACTTGGAAACAGATGCTTATTCTTATATATCAGACACATTGCATGGGACAACTGTAATAGTCCTGTCACTCCTTATTTCAGATACACACATTTCCTACTCTGCTCCTCTTTACTTGTGTTCTTTGAGACCTGCAGCAAAAGTGAATTAGATACAGTCTGCTTTTAGGGTAGCCCACAGAAATCCAAGCAGCAGTACACCACTCTGCAGAAGAGCCCAGAGTCAAATAGGGTTGGGTACACTTACATCAGAAGAAAGCAACAATTTGAGGAAGGTCCAGGATGAAAAAAAGAAAGCAATTACATTCAGGCATTCAGGACACAAAACCACAATCAATAAGAGATGAGAACAGAAATGTAAGGCAGCAAAAAAAAAAAAAAAAGAACACAAGAAAATGAATTCCAATTCCACTAAGAAGAATGAAAGTACTTTTTTAAAAAGACTGCAAAAATAACTTTGTCTGCATCCTTAAATACTGATTTAAGTACACTTACCTTCTGTAAATCAATGCACCAGCTATATGTCACTACAAATGTATGTAATTGGGTTAAAGTGTCCCCAACAAAAATAATAGTTCTCTACCTATTTAACATACCAAGGCTGATACTATAATGAATAATATAAATTATTCCTGGGAGATCACAAGATTTCAAATATTAATAAAATTATAAAGAATGAAACCCCTAATTTTGAATATTATAATGTCCAGTAATTTTTGCTGTGGTGTATTCTGAATGGGAAAAAGAAATAAGTAAATAAGACACTAGATTCCTATAGTAAAAAAAGAAATTACAACATACAGAGATGAAAATAATAGGCAACACAGAAACAAGTATTGTCTGAGGGATGAGCAGTGTGCTTGCTGTCCAGCCATCACCCTTGGTGACACCTGTTTTTGTTAAAAATATGATTAAATGCCAAATACTGAGATCAGGATTAATCAGAGACAGATTTGCCATGCTACTCTCTTGCCCTCAGCTCTATCAGCCACTCGCCCTAATGCCCACCCACGTGCAGTCCTTGTTTAGCTTGGTTACCCTAATTCTTCCCTCTGAACAGGATTTTCAGTCAGGCACCTTTGTCATCATTTACATTATGAAATATTTAGGATTGCTTCTGTTTCTGTGATAGAAGTGATAAGGTTGCAGCACATGCAGATATGCTGACTTCGTGACTTATGGAAAGAATTACATGAAGTGCCTAAGTTTTACTGAATGCTGTGAAACTACATATAATAATGACTAGAAAATTAGCTAAAATACAAAGCAAAACTAAAATTGAAAGTTTAAATCAATATTTCTTGACTGATGACTTAACCAGAACTAGTGATTCAAATCAGTTTATCTCCTGTACATTTTGTTTTCTCTTTCCTACCATTTCCAGAATGTGGCCTGTCTCCACTAAACGTCTTTTTAAAAGAAATAATATACTACAATTAGTCAATTAAATCTCTTCAGAACTTACAGAAACTTACATGACACTTATGAGCACTATTCTATTTGTAAAATAGAATAAGTCAAATGTAAAACATTAATATAGAAATAAATCTACTGATTTTGTATGTCTGCTTATTATCATAAAATTCTAATCACATTATCTTTAGAAGACAGATTTTTAACTGTCAGAAAATTAAGAATCAAAATAGTTTCATACTATGAAAACACCAGAGAAGTTCTTGGCAGTAGGAGCTTGTATCACAAAATAGTGCTATCCATGTCAGACTTTGAAATGTGCCATTGCCCATAATACAGTCAGCTTGCTAATACCTAAAAAATAAAAATAATTCAATAATAAAATAATAATAAAAATAATTTAATTAATAATTTAATATATTAAAATAATAAAATAATTAAAAATAATTTAATTTTTTTCTATTTTCCAAGTAATCAAAACCTATGCTAAGATGTACTAGGAAGCATCGAGCAGAAAAAGCACTTTTCATAAGAAGGTGTTACTCTTGAGATATGAATGCTCTCGTGTAGTGGGAGCTGAAAGGGTCACACGTTTTTGTAGAGAGAACAGACGGGTGAAGCACAGCCGTGAATCAAACAAGCGAGGTTTGATACAGAAGTGACCCATCTACTGGCTGACGACAGACTTCAAACAAAGGAGCGACACTTTAAACAGAAACAGGAGAAGCACTTTTAAGAGACATCTTTCAAAGGAGGAAGCGCAGCCTGGAGTTGGGGATCTAGAAGTCACTTAAGGCAGGCAGAATGGAAGTCAGTAGGATTTGAAAGGCGAGGTTGCTCCCTTACCCTGCCGAGTGCCAACTCTCCCGGAGCGCAGAGGCAGAAACAGATGTGGGACTTCGAGCGCCGTCACCGCAGAGAGGCTCAGGCAGAGAAGCTCCGCCGAGCTCCCCCAGAGCCCCCGGCCCGGCCCTCACGCGCCCCGTGGGACATCCACGCGGGAGCACGAGGGGTTCGCCCCGCTCCCGCTCACAGGGCACGCCGGGCTCCGGGCACGCCGGGCTCCGGGCACGCCTGGCAGGCAGCGCAGAGCTCCGGGCAGTGCCGGGCTTCGGGCAGTGCCGGGCTCCGGGCACGCCTGGCAGNCAGAGCTCCGGGCAGCGCCGGGCTCCGGGCAGCGCCGTCCCCGCTCCCCGCGGGCCCCACGGCACCGCCGACGCTTCCTGCCGGTTGCCAGGGGAACTACGGGCCGCCGGCAGCCCAAACTTCCTCAGTGCTTGCTGCAGACGGAGCGACAAGGAGATTAAAAAAACCGATTTGGTTGAGGTTGTTTTTTTCCAGCCTACCTTGTACGCTGTGAGTAAAACGAAAACGGTGAATTTTCAGGTGACATCGCCGCTCAGTTTTATCCACCTTTTTAATACCTTCCTGGGTATACAGTGGACTCATACAGTACTGAATGTTCCGTTGTAAATACAGCATCACGTCTGAGTGTGAGCTTTTGGATAAAAGGCTGCTTATAACTTGACCACGAGAGTGCTTTCTTGCACTTTCCTTGCACATTTCTTCAAGGAATGTGTATATTCATTCATGCACACAAAAATAAATCTTCAAGCAAAATGTTTCCTTGGTGCGCTTGAATTGTGTGGGATATAAGCTTTCCACCATTGCATTCTTTCTCACTTCTGTCATTTCTACTGAAGTAAAAGTGAAGCAGAAGTGAACATGGATAAGCAAGACTTATTCTCATGATTTTCCACAGGAAAAAAAATTGCATTGACAGTGGTGAAAAATAGGTGTAGACCATTTGAAAAATGCCATAGGCATTAGATTTTGGGCAATGCAGGCATTCCATAATTGGTTTTATCCAACATAAATACTTTGTATCCGCCAATAGCGGTGAGTCCAAAGCGAGGACGTTTGCAGAGTTAAAATAGGGCTGCATAGCTGAGTGCCATTGAAATGCATTAGTGCAAGAGACTATTTGGAAATACAGAAGGAAAATATCTATAAATAATATTGGAGAAGGGAAGATTTCTTCTTTTTCTAGGTGGTTTTAGCTAAACTCAAGAGACGTAATAGTACTTTAACAGAATTATTTTACTGTTCCACAATATTGAAGACAATAGAAAAATGGATATCTTTTTATCCAAAAATTTTATGGACTGATAAATTATCTTAGAAAAAAATCCAGTATTTTAAAGCAGATCATGAAAAACTTTGAAAATCACAATAAAAAAATATAAACCAGTGTGATCATTTCCAGGATGAGAAAAAAAAAATCTGCTCTTTTTTTTGAGCAAAGTTTTTTTTTTAGTTCAGTATTTTAGTATCATTTTATACGTGTATCTGCTGTAGCTCCTTTGTGAGTACAGAAGAGACCAGAGCTGTGGAAGAAAGCAGTGGTACAGTTCCTAGGTCGGTGAACTGCTGTGTAGCATGAAGCAAAACCCCACTGATCAGCTCCCACTGCGTTCACGGAGGCACAGAAATGACTGGGTTGTGAAAGGATGAGATTCCAGACCCTGTGCAAGAGCAGGGCTTTCTTCAGAGTCGGATCACTTTCCTGAAAAATGTGAAATAAGAGCCCTGCAGTGTGTCTGGTAGCTCAGGGAGTGTTCTTGGGGTGCTGAATGCATGGCAAGGCTCAGCCACCACAGTGCAGGCTGGTGGCCTTTTGGGTGGGCTTGATCCTCCCACATGGCAGAAATACAGACCAAAATGATCCTGAATTCCTGGAGTAGGATAGGACGATACTGTATCCTCATACATATTTTTATAACTTGATTCTAAACACTGATTACTTACTTTTTCATAATAATACTCAACCAATTTAAATAGAACCAATGATTAATTAATTAACTGTAACTGCTAATAAAACTAATATACAATTTGACTTCTTTTTTCATTAGTCACAGCTAAATAGTTAATTACTAAGGGGGAGGAGAATTCACCAATGCCAAATGAATTCTGAGGCTTATGAATTTAAAACTGAGACTTATTGGAATATGGCTAATTGAAAGAACATCACTTATACCAGTCACGTGCAAGATCTTTTTGTCTGAGCATATTTATACCTTTGTTAAGCTAATTCATGTGACATGGTTTAGACTTGGCATGTTGCCAGAGCGTGTTGAGAAATTGTGGGGAGAATATTTCTTGACAAGTGCAGGTTTTTGCATGAGGAAGAAGGGGAGCAGATACTTCATTTTTTGTCATAATTTAATTAATTTGCATTGTCAACATTTCCCTTTCTATTTGTAGCAGCTTTTCTGTAAGACAATAAGTGGTTTATGATGATTTGTTCCTTATATTTTTCTAATAACAAGAAAGAGATTAACAACAGGCTTAAAACTGACTCATTCTCATTTTATTATTGTTCTAAATATTCATTTAATAGCACACAAACATATATTTTTATTTGAGATTATTGTAGAAATTAATATGTTCTGTTTTAATAAAATATTATTTTATATAAAATATAAAAAAATAATTACATACTTTAAATAAAAAAGTGCAATTTTATTCACAGTTGGGGGCCAACAACTTGCAACCTAGTAAGAACAGTAAAAGAACAAAACATATTTCCTCAATGTATATGGTAATTTCTTTCATTTCTCCAGAAAATTTAGAAATTCAGTGCCTGTCAAGTTGATGGACCTGTGAATCTGCCCTTTTATCTTCAATGAAAATTGGTGTGAAACAGCATCATTTCAGCTGTACAATTCTGGATAACAGCCCAATGATTCTACTGAATTGCTTACTCTTTTTCTGTAATACACCAGAAATTATTTGATAGCCTATTACTAAGTGCTAAGATGCTGTAAGGACATTGGATTAGCAGATCAATGTCCTGCATAAAACTCAGAGTCAAGGTCCCAAGAAACAGACTGACCCACAGGAACTTTCAGGTTCTGATGTTTCAGTAACAAAAATTCATACAGGTATGACCCCAAATTTGCAAACTTAATGAGGTTCCCTAATGAGTGTCACTGAGTACACAGTACAGAGCACTGTTAGTGTGCAGACTTGGTGCACAAGGCTGAGCACAACCAAGTTCATGGACAACTGCAGTTCAATTCCACACCAGGTTTTTTGATTGCTCTCAAGGATATCCTGCTGATCTGAAATTATCAGGCTTTTCCATGAACATGAATACTTGAGTGAGCCAGAGAAATTTAAGTCCATATAGATATAAAGATGCTAACTCATCATTGCTCCACTTCATGTACTGAAGTGTTTAGAGCAGCTCTGCAATGATTCAGTTCTACTTGTATTCATCTTTTACCCATGGCCACACAGAGCCAGTGCTCCTGTCTCCTGTAGATAGCTAGTACTACCAGGAGCCAAAGTAGACCAATTATACACATCCTTCAGTGAACTGTACTACCTTAAAAAATGAAATTAGGATTAAAATGAGACATGTCAGGATTTGGGTTTTTTTATGATTCTTCTAACTTTTCATATCACCATCAATAATGTCAGTTTGAATTTGTTTTTTCTGGTGATGCCAGTTCTGGTGGTGCCAATTTCTCAGGAAGGACAATTTATTCCATTCCATCACCCAGATGTTGTCAAAATCACAGCTACTTCTGTAGAAATACTTTGCTTTTCTACAGAGAGAGATCTATTTCCACAAGTGTAGTTAAAAATGAAGAATTAGGAACCTTTGTTTCTTTGAGTGTCTAAATTTGAGTTTTATGATACTTGATTACCTGCCTCCCTGCTGTTCACTGGAATCTTCATTCCTAATTTGTCTCAGGAGTCTTAATCAGAGAATTTCCATAGTTAAACAGATAAGAAGATTCACAAAAAGTACCAAAGATGACCTGGTAATGACCACCACTAACTCATGGAAAATGTTTAGGAAAAAAACATTTTTTAGAAAAAAAACAGTTTCAGAAAAAAGTAGTTTACAAATAACTGGGAAAAGGGGGAGTTGGATATATATCTGTGAATTCTTCTCTGAATTTCACAATTTTCAAAGTTTTCAAAGCTAAGAAAAGATCTTGAAAGTGGTGCTAGAAGGCTCACTGGATTTTGGAAAGTCTTCTTTTGCCTGATTTTTAGACTTGAACCCAGGCTCTGTTGCCTCTCAAATCTGGCAAATACACTGCCATATATCCAAGTATTATTCTCAAATGCTTTAGGACATAGCAATGATACTCTAAAATTTCCCAGATTACCAATTTTTATTAACTATTTTTTTTCACCAAACGGTGGAGGTATTTGTAAGTAGACACAGAATGAAAGAATGTATCTGTGAGCATAGTATTCCTGAAGATGAAGTAGTACCCAACGTCACAGAAAAAGTGAAAGAACTAGAATCAATAGATTCTCATTATAAATCAGAATTTACTTTTAAAAAAAGGGACAGGATATTAAAAGATGGCTGCTTTAGCACAACTTTGGGAGCATTGAGAATTATTCACTACTATTTTATATTTGAGGTACTTTTATCTAATACGATACATTTTTTAATTAAAAAAAAAATATTAGTAGTGTGGCCTTTCTCTTTGCCCTGTAGAGAATGCCATTATTGTATTCCTGCTGATTTTTGTGAACTTGGAATTTGATTTTAAGGAAAATAACAAAAGTTCTCGTTGAAAAATGTTCTTTAAATGCAAGACAGACATGAATGAGCTCTAACTGTAGTCACTAGATGACTTTTCTATAATTATTTGAAAAAAACCCTGCCTACTAAATTTCTATGGCAGGATAAATATACTTTAAATTCTGCTGAGGGAAATAATTAAGCAAAGTTGAAAACTTACACCTAATTTACAGGGTGCTGCTATGAGGGCTGATTGACATGTTTTTCCCACCAGAGTTGAATAGAGAAAAAAAAACCCAAACCAGTTGAGGCACACACTGTAGTTCTGTGTTTTCCCACTCGGTGGCAATGATTCCCTCTCTTTCCTTGCCAGTTCTGTGCTTTCTCACAGAGCTGCTGCTCTGCGTTCTGCAGCCTTCATTTGGAGGAACACACAAGGGAAAAAAATCATTGTTTTCCTTTACTTCAAATATCAAAGATGATAAAACAGAGGAGTTTGTTAAATGAAAATGTATTTTATAGTTCACTTGTCAGAGAAAATGTGTTCTTTGATTGGA